TCGCATGTAAGGCCGCATTAATCGTTTGAATAAAATGTGCCTTTTTTTTTTTTACTTATATCAATAATGCAATACACCTTGATAGCAAAACTGTACAAATTTAATAACTTTTTATGTTATATTGGGTCTACTAATATATTTTTAATAAAAATAAAAAATTTAATACACAAATATTTAAAATTTTAGTAAGAATGTACGGTAGTTTAATTTTTAATATGAAATAATATATTTCAAAAATTAAAAATTACTTAATCTAGAATTTTAAAATTAATAAATAAATAAAATAAAATCATATCGCCTTTCAACTAAAATAACGAAATACTGTATAACATATGCAAAGTTATTTTAAATAATTTTTAATCAACAGTGATCATCTTGTTAGTTATGTCACATATTTTTCCTACATTTAAATTTTTATAAAATTCGTTAAATATACTTTTATTTTATTTTATTAAAAAACTTATTTTGATTAAATAAATTAGTGTAGTGCACAAAAAAGTATTAATAGAAAGTCGTGTATATATAAGAGATATTATAGATTATAAATTGTTAAGAATTATAAACAAAATAATTAACATTAAAATGAATTTTGTATAAAAATAATTCTGTAACTATTCACAACAAAATACAAAAATAAAAAACAAAAGATCCGAGGATTACATGAACTATTAACTACTAACTATTATAATGTTCTAGAGAGATAAGTATATTATTTAAAAAAATGGTTTTTAATTTTAATAAAAAAAAAAAAAAGGTGCACTTGATCTGGTGAGACGTATAAATCGGACAGCTGAATTCATGCAAATAGTATGTATCACATAAATATTGAAAGGGAGAGATTCTTCAGGAATTGGACAATCGGTCCTATCTTGGATGAAATGGTTAATTTGTGGCCATCGTTTGCAGAAATGTGAGGAAGCTATGAAGACCATGTCACAATTGAGATGCTACAGAAAACCAATATCATCTTTTCATAGTGCAAAGCAAAATTCCAACTAAACTGTCATACGGATGGTAATTTCCACCATACATTTTTGTCTAACTACCGATAAGACTGAAAGAGAATGGCATATAAATTACAGAAAATTCAATTGAAAGCTCTGGACATTATCTTAAAGCTTGTTTAGGATTAAATACTTTGCAAGTATAAAGTACACCAAGTAACTATCCAAAGTAATTCTTTATTCTCTTTCAATCATTTACGTCTTAGTTATTCTCTAGACTCTGCAATTTTTCTTTTTTGTCGCGAAAAATACCTACATCAATCACACTTTTAAAGGAAAATATACGTTTGTTGGGTAATTATTTGGAGAATTAAACTTTATGCTAATCAGTATTCATCTCTCATTCACTGTACACAATCAAAGTTAGCTAAACCTCAACAATTAACAGCTACAAATTTCAAATTAAACTTTATTGCTGAGATTATACGAAACTTAATCATGGTTGTATTGAAAAAGATGTGGATAATTACAGTTTCCAGAGAAAGAAACCCCCGTGAAAGTGAAAGATTGACGAGAAGTAAGTTATCAAGGATAGAATAATGATAATAATATTTATTTATTCAATAATTAAAAGAATTGTAAGAATAAAAAGTAAGAGAATTTAAAATTGTTAATAATAATAATAATAAGCAAGGCTTCCTTTATTTTTCTCTTTTTTTCAGATCCTAAACAAGATTTCATCAGATTTTTTTCCCATTAGAAACAACATTCATGTTGAATGAGAGAAAAAAATACATAAAACTATTATAAAAAAAGTCAAAGTAGGTGAAGCTACAAATATAAGCACGTCAAGAGTGATAAAATTCCAATTTCAGCATTTCGGGCTAAAAACTATCCGACAAAAATGCTTCAAAAATTTTAAATCACACTCTTTTAACATTCAAAGAGTAATTTATGATAAATGATTTTAAATTTCTCCAAAATACATTCTTCCCTCAAATTATTTTATCCAAACATGCAGTTGTAATATCTTTAAGAGTCAAATTTTGAGAGAGAGGAAAAATTAAAAAAGGAAAGCACGTGTAAAACGTTTCTCTTCCCAAAGTACAATGAAATCATAACTTATTTCATATAATTGTTTTCTTATTCTAATAATTATGTCATACTGATTTCTTAATAATTTTTTACAACAATTAAATTTCTTATTTTTTAATTAAAATATATTTTTATGCTAATTTATTATTTTATAATTTGAATCAAAGATTTTTCATAAGAGATTAATTATATTTAAACTAGTAGAATTAACTTTTTTAATGATTTTTTATATACAATATTTAAATCCAAAATATTATTAAAAAATTAAATATATACTACTTAAACTAATCATCAATCAATAGTCAATCCGTTATCTAATTAATAAAATAAATTATGGACACAATCAATGATTAATTTATATACATGAAATGATACTCTACTTGTAAACTTGCATGTTAAAGAACATATAGCGACTTTAACTTTTAAATATAAGATAGCGTATTTCAATATACCAAATGATCTGATTAAATAGATTGTAATTATTCATGGGTCAATTGAGATGTTACTGATATAGTAAAATTAGATGAAATATCCTTAGGCCCTGCACGGAGTTTATGTAAATACGAAAAAAAAAATAGTTTTATGATATTAAAAAAATATGTTAAAATATAATTTTTTTCTTAATTTGTAATGTTATTGTAGGTAATGTTATTTTTAATGTAATAATTTTTTTTATAAAATTTAATAATATGGATTATCAAAATTTTTAACAAAGTTATGATGATATATATGTTAAAGTAGTTCATAAAATGCTTCGTTGTAAATTATATTGTCATAATAATATTTTTTTTAAAACTTATTTTGATAATACTAGTCTTGATAATGTAATATATAACTAATTGTGTTCGATAAAATAGTAATGTTACTTTTCCATACTATTTTTGTTGCTTCATTAATTGATGTAATTATTAATCTTATTACTAATGTGATTTATAAAAGTGTGGATTGATTGATCTTATATTTAAAATAAGAAAAGTTGTTAAAATTAATTAATGCATTTATAAATATGTAATTTTGTTGTTGATACTTATTTATATTTTAAAAAGTAAAGTACAAATTAAAAATTTAGTTGATGATGTATTAACTAATTTTTAAATTGTATGAAATTATAGACTTAAAATATGATATTCTTTGGGCTGTTCTCTTTTTCTCTTAAAATATGATATTCTTTGGTTAACATACCTGAACCATTCATTAATATTTTAGACTTTATCTTTGACTAACATTGTGACGCATTAAGCATTATTTAAAACTCACTCTTTAACATTTTGATTTAATTTAATTTCTAGAAAATTTAATGTGATACATGTAAATATATTTGATAGACTTATCCAATGCACTTAGTGTGTAGATTAGAAAAATTATTAAATAATATTAATTGTCTATTAATTTATTTGATATAAATAGATTAATCATTTTTATAAAAATGATTAATAAAATTAAATTTGAATATAAATATATTTAACTCTCTCTCTTTTTGTAATGGGCCCTCGTAAATTTGAAAAATTATATGTTTGTAAGGGCCCCCCGTGAATAACTCTCTCTCTCTCTCTCTCCTAATGAATAACTCTCTTTTAGTAGCAAGATTTCCCACGAGAGATATATGTTTTTTTTTTTTATCATATTATTAATCATAATTTCATTTTTTATTGTTTTTTTAACACACTTTACATCCTAAAAATAAAGGATCGAATTATATATTTTTTTCAATATTCTAACCTCAACTGCAATAGATTAATTGACTAATTTTAATTTAAAAAGTTTTAAAAAGAGTAAACATGTATTTATATATGTGTTTATTTAATTGTTTTTAAAAATTTTTTATTTATCTAATCTTGACATTGATGGGTTGATTAGAAGTGAAAATATTTTTACAGAACTTTTTATTAGACTGAGTTAAAGTGAAGATTTATTGATAGAGAAATTGTATAAAATAATTCATTTAATTAACAGTAATAGCATCACTTTTCACAAATATGATCCTATTATTAGGCAAATTAATAGATTTTTTAAATTAAAATATTTTATTTTAAAAAAAAATAATTTATGTGCCGAATTTTTAAATAGATATAACGTGTCTAAAATGGTTAACTTTTGTGTTCTTAAACATCTCTGTTAGTGATGAATACTTGACCATTTGTTAATATATTTTTGTCTTTAATAAGCTTTAATGTTTTTTTTTTCATAATAAAGAATGAAAAGAAAAAAAAACATTTTTTCATGTAAATATTACATTTTATTTTATTTTTATTATTTTACTTTTTATCGGAACAAATCATTAGATAATATTGTTATATTGGATTTCCGTTCAAATTAGCACGTTAATTGACTGGGCGGACAAACTTTTGGCCTCGTAGAAATAAGTTACGGCTTCTTTGGATACAACTAATGTGATTTTTTTCAAAAAAATCTTCATTACTAAGAGAGTAACAAAAATGATTCAGCAAGTATACATATATAAAAAGAACCCAATCATCCAATAACGCCATAGTTTCTGCATATTTAGTTCAGCATTTGACACAATTTGAATGGACGTTTAAGTTCCAGAAACTATTTTAAAAACGTGTTTGAAGAGGTACTTCCAAGGCATAAGAACATCTAACGTATCTCAAATTATAGATATAATAAGAATAACTATCTTTCTCTTTAAAGTGAGGAGTTGTAGCTGGCAGGTTCGTAACCATGCCAAACTTCAGTTAGATCACTACAAAGAATATGCTTTTGAATATGCAAAACTCTTTAAGAGCTCAAATCTGCTACAATTTTAATTAATACACATCATCGATGGTAATTACTCTTATTATTATACCAATATTAATTAATAAAAGAAATAGAGTTGGAGTGAAACCTGTGGAGAATATGCTTTTTTCAGTATTAAAAAAATACTAATAATAATTATAAATTTTAACAATAAATTAAAAAATGGTATAAAACTATAATTAATTTTTAGTTTTACGCTTTGACAAAAGCAGAACGAACGAGTGCAGTTAAATAGGGAGGCATTCCCCACGCTCCTTTCTGAATTTCTAAGTTGTTTCTCTCTCTCTCTCTCTCATAGGAACAACTACGCCACTCCGTTTCACTTGCTTTAAGTGACGCTGTCTCGTTCCTGTTCTTTGTTTGATTCCTTGCAGTGTTCTACGTCTGAATAGCGCAGCATATTGCTTTGGTATGTTATGCCTCTTTGTTTCTGTTTTATTTTTTAATCATTTCTGTGTGCCTTTTCTACTCTCTTTTTTCTTGATGAGGGGTTGGGGTGGAATTTTATTTTTCTGTGCTCTTGTTGACATCAAATAGCAGAGCATTGTCCTCTGTTATTGCTCTACAAACTTCTTTTTATCCCCTAAATTCCAACTTAGTTTTATTTAACGGTTTCAATGCTGCTGCTGCTGCTGCTGCTGCTTTTTTTTCATAGTGAGCTTCCTTTAACTCCACAGTCCATATTCTTTATGGTTCTGGTGGGACCTTTTTAAACACACTTCTCTGCCCTTCTTTTATCCCTTAATCTCGGTTTTCTATTATTATATGGTGGTGGAATCCAATCTTTTCTTGTCTCTCATAGTAATTTAGCACGAAAAATCTAAGTCAACTAACTTTCTTCGAGCTTTTTTAATTATTTTCGCTATCCACTGAAAATTTATGGGAAAATATTTCATCTCTGTGTAAGTATGCGGCTGCTGCATAAACCCAAAGAATAATATAAGATGCATATTTGAGTCTATTCATTAATAAATATAAGCTTTTAACGTCTTTTCAGCTAAACATTCCTGTCTTCAACCGGACATCATTTCCTCTTCTTAAAATTTTATGTCCTAAAATAATTATAGAACGTGCACACAAGGATTTGTATACTTCACAAATCCTGCGACACACAAGTTATAAAACATAAATTAAAAATATATATAATTAATATTCTTACTAATAAATATTTATATTTTTCTTAGTATGATGTTTATCTCTTTTATTACAATTTTAACATCCTCTGCGTCGTTATTTTAATATTGGTAAGGAATGTAAAAATAAGTGAAAAGATATAGTTGAAAAATAATAATTAGTATTATTTCAGATTGTTTAATAAAACATGAATTTGATTGTAAATAACAATAATTAATTGATTAAATAACATTAAATATATCCTGTTAAATACTTTTAATTACTTGAAGAGGGATATATCAAATGATTTTTCTATTCCCAGTATAATAATAAATGCAAAAGCCTATCTTTGTTGATTTTTATTATAACATTATAATTACATAAATTTTTGTACTAATGTTAATAACGTGTTGACGTGGCTTAAGATATTAATTTTATTGTTGAGGTGCATGTTTAACGGGTAGAATGAAATAAATATGAATAGAAGATCAAAGCAAATTTGAAAAAATAATATAATCTTAACAAACTTTTATCTTATTTAGTGTTTGATGCAAATATGATGTTTATCCTATTTTATGCACAATATTAGGATATGATATAAATTATACGAAGATAATTGAGATCATGGCAGAGGAGGCAAGTGGGGGTAAGAAGGGAAAAAATTATCTATTATCTCCTATTCTTTTTTTACTCATCCCCATTAATAAATTTTAAAGTAATAAATATTATAGGATAAATTTATCTTATTTTATTGATTTATTAAATAATTAATTGAAAGAAATCAAATTATCTTATCCTAGCTTTATTATCTGGGCTTATGTTTGAAGTTTATAGTTCGGATTCTCAATTTAAAGTGTTTTATCTTAATTCGAAATCGTCTTAATTTAGTTTAGGATAGAGTTATTTTTTAAGTTTGAATTTCTAGTAACTGCTTTTTTGATCGATTTAGTTTCCGTTATTCTTGATAAAGTTAATTGAAATTTGCTTATCATTTAAATTGAGTTAGTTACTTTATTGATATGTTTAATTTGATTAGCTTATCAATTAGAAAAGTTAGCTAATTACTCTGTTGGGATGGTGTTATAAATAGATGATAGTTCTTTAGTCATCTGAGTTGCTTCTGCAATTTCATTACTACACCCGCTCGATCACAGGAATACTTCTCTGTTCTTCCGCATCAGGTTCACCTCCTTTAATGCAATGCAACGCTTTATCTGCTACACTTTCTTCCCGTTATTACGATCTTCTGCATTTTGATATCTCCGCCTTTAAAATTTTCTTTAATAAAACAATATTTGAACTTTAAAAGATCTTTTTCATGCCATGACTTTCTGTTGTTTTTAGTTTCTTCTTTTTATCCTACCGTCCCAATTTATTGTTGAATTAATTTCCCGTTATTAGTATTTTAACGATCTCAATGTTCTGTAGTTTGTTTTCCACTGTGGCCCCCGTGTTGAAACATGTTTTGTTGATGTTGACTACGGTGGAAATTGTAGCTCCCTATTTTGTCTTATTGTCATTACCTTTCTTTTGTGATTTGAATTGTCATGGCACTTACTGCTGATTCATGGGTCCATTTATTTGCTCATGTTAAGTATCACGTGCACATGCTTTTGACATGTCTAACACCGCCTTCTAAGTTCTCCGTGTATATATTATCTACTGATCTTCTCCATTTGTTCATGGGTATATTTCAGTTAAGGTACTTATTGAGAGAGTTGAGTGAAGGAAGAAGCTTTTGCTGACAAAGGAAAGACATGGCCAAGGAAAACTTGCAAGTGCTTAATGCACTTGATGTTGCCAAGACACAATGGTACCATTTCACTGCTATTGTGATTGCTGGGATGGGTTTCTTCACTGATGCCTATGATCTGTTCTGCATCTCCCTTGTCACCAAATTGCTTGGTCGCATATATTACTATGAAGGTCCGAACAAGCCTGGGGCTCTGCCAGACAATGTTTCTGCTGCCATCAATGGTGTTGCATTCTGTGGAACACTTGCAGGCCAACTTTTCTTTGGTTGGCTTGGTGACAAAATGGGAAGGAAGCGTGTGTATGGAATGACCCTTATGCTCATGATGATATGCTCAATTGCCTCTGGTCTTTCTTTTGGCAAAGAGCCTAAAACTGTTATAACCACCTTATGCTTCTTCCGTTTCTGGCTTGGATTTGGCATTGGTGGAGATTACCCTCTTTCAGCCACTATCATGTCTGAGTATGCCAACAAGAAGACTCGTGGAGCCTTCATAGCTGCAGTTTTTGCTATGCAAGGTTTTGGAATTTTGGCTGGTGGCATGATTGCAATCATAGTTTCATCTGTTTTCAAAGCCATGTACCCTGCTCCAACATTCCAGTTGAACCCAGTTTTGTCCACAGTGCCACAAGCTGATTATGTCTGGAGGATAATCTTGATGTTTGGTGCAGTCCCAGCTTTGTTGACATACTATTGGCGTATGAAAATGCCTGAGACTGCAAGATACACTGCATTGGTCGCCAAGAATGCTAAGCAAGCAGCTTCAGATATGTCAAAGGTGTTGCAGGTTGAGATAGAAGCTGAACAGGAGAAAGTTCAGCAATTGGACACAGAAAGAAGGAACGAGTTTGGCTTGTTCTCAACACAGTTCCTTCGTCGCCATGGCCTTCACCTGGTTGGAACAGCCACTACTTGGTTCCTGTTGGACATTGCCTATTATAGTCAGAATCTTTTTCAGAAAGACATATTTAGTGCCATTGGCTGGATTGCAGAAGCAAAAACCATGAATGCCATTGAAGAAGTTTACAAAATTGCTAGAGCGCAGACCCTCATAGCCCTTTGCAGTACTGTCCCCGGTTACTGGTTCACAGTGGCACTTATTGATAGGATGGGAAGGTTTGCTATTCAGTTGATGGGCTTTTTCTTCATGACTGTATTCATGTTTGCCTTGGCCATACCTTACCACCACTGGACCATGCATGGCAACCAAATTGGGTTTGTTGTGATGTATTCATTGACTTTCTTCTTTGCCAATTTTGGTCCAAATGCCACCACATTCGTGGTGCCAGCAGAGATTTTCCCAGCTAGACTAAGGTCAACATGCCATGGCATATCAGCTGCAGCTGGAAAAGCTGGGGCAATGGTAGGGGCTTTTGGCTTCTTATACGCTCAAAATGGCATTGGAGTCAGAAATACGCTTATAATTTTGGGTGTGTTTAACTTCTTGGGGATGATGTTTACATTCTTGGTGCCTGAGTCTAAAGGAAAATCTCTGGAGGAGATGTCTGGTGAAGCTGAGGAAGAGACTACTGCTACAAGAGAATCAGCAATGGAAGCTGGTCTTCAAGTTAGGACTTAGGACCATGTGACCATCAGAGTTTGTCATTGCAGTTGAGCTTTTTCTTATATGTTATCGTAGATTTTGTCATTGCAGTTGAACTTTTTTTTTTTTTTTTTTTTTTTTTTTTTCTGGCATCTCTGAGAATATTTTTTTTCTTATATTACTCTATTTTGCTTTCTTTTTATATTATATTCCTTTACTCTATTTTGCTTTTTTATATATATATATATATTAAAAAATATAAGGACAAACCACTAATAACAGTAATTTTATTGAAAAGAGAAGTATTAATCATATTTTTATAATTTTAATATAATAAATGTATTTTTTTTTTTATAAAAAATTATATTTATGAATGTTTAAATTTAAGTTGTTAAATGAAACATAGAAGGTAAAAACATATGTGCGCTCTCTATTATACAGCTCTTATTTTTCCATTTACCGTTCTCAAATCCGTCCCCATTAACATGGCCTAGCACTTTATTTTAATAGCATCAAATGCTTTATTTTATCCTTTCTTTTCTTGACGCTGTAAATAGCTTAGAAAAATATGTATGTAAGTCTAAATTAACTTCACCTGTCACAGTTTAGCAGAACCTTGCACTTTAAAATAATATGATAGAATCGAATTCTCGCGGTTATCTTTATCTATCTTTTCTCTTGACTCTTGAGGCTGTAAATAATAAATATAAAATAGGAAAAAAAGATCTCCATATTGATATTTTCCTATTTTGCATCTCTTCCTCTGGCTGTATCTTCTCAGCAACAACCTTTATTTGTGAATGTCATTTTTTATCTTCTTTTATAAAGCAGAATGGCCCCATCTTTGAATTATATTCGATTGAAGGTTGCTATCGAAGAGCTCAAAGACAAAACAACGTTGACGACAATGCTGTTGAAGCCAAACTCTCCTGCTCCCATTCATATTCCTTAATATCATTGATTGTGTGCTCATTACTCAATAACAAGGAAGAACCTCGTTTATTACTTAATAGCGTACCTCGTTTATGAGGAACATTAATTTTTTAGGTAGGTGTAAGTACTTAAGATTGGAACAAAAAAATTTAATGAAGTTAATCGATGGGTCACAACAAAGTAAATGCATTGGGGTATAATGTAGTTATTTGTTGTCATTGTGATAGAGGCTCCTTTTCTCAGCCTTGCCTTCAAACAACGCTACATTGCGAACAAGACTGATTAAAACGTCATTTGGACTATAAATGAGAAAGGGAATAAAAAGTTTAGTTTCTCATTCTCTATCTTACTTTCAACAAGATTAGACTTTGCTACATGGTATTATTGGGTTGTACAGCAATGAAAAAATAAACTTTTGATATGTACACACCCTTTATTCCAGATATTTTTGCGTACGTCTTTCAGTTTCAATCGAGTAGAATATTGCACTTTATGATCACAAATCAAATTGTGAAAGATGGATACAAGTAATTGACCCCTGTTCTCAGTAGACGGCTAAGAATTCAATACCTTTGAGCATAGTCTTGATTTCCCTATAGTAGTGGAAACGGAACAGTGTTACTTTGCAAGGGTGTTGCATTCTGACATTTCCTAGAGAAAAGTAAATGGACCAAAAGGACTGTGACACTTCATCTAAGTAGCCATGAATCTGTCCCGAACAATAATATCAGACAAAACAGTCGTTTATTTGTTGGGTTAATGTTTCCATGTGAAATATTTGTGGTATTTGTGGTTGTGAACCTTGGGGTTGGGCCAACTCTTACAACAGGTGTAAAATGGGTAAAATATTTTAAGGTAGGGGACGGACTTTCTTAATTGCGATTAGTAAGTGTAATTATAAACTCAGAACTAATTGGAGAGTGGTGGAGAGACTGCTTCAATTTCTAGTATCAATCAGAGTCAGCAATATGCAACGATAGGGATAGAAGTTTTCTTTGTTATACAAATTACTCTCAGCATGTTTGGTTTTTACATTTCTAAACCTTAAAACTCGTATTTATTTTAATACAATTTAATGTAGCGCCAAGAAAATAGGCGCATGTTTACTTATTTACGACACGAAATTAGACACACAATATCTGATATTAACCATAGGGACACCAGAGATATGTGTTGCAGGATTATTATTACTATTATTGGGTCTTTAAAATACTCCTCTCATTATAGTAATGGCACACAATTTTATATGATTTTTTTCCTGATTTATTTTTTTAACAACAAAGACAATTTTGTCAAAAAATATATAAACAAAATAAAAAATAATTAGTATATATAGATATACCTATCAATACGGCTTTTATTTTTGTCAAAATAAGGTAGAGAAAGGAAAATCTGGCCCTGAACTGTGTGATCAGAGTATGGTTGTGAAATTGGGCTGAATAATCTGGCCCCAAGTTTTTGCTCTAGCCCGAGTCCAGCCACTGAAGTTTCGTGATCCAATCATACTACTGAGGTTGGTTGAAAATTACTTTTTATAATTAAACTTTTATATTTTCAGAAATAAGTTTTCAAAATTAAGATTTTACACTTCCAGAAATTAATTTCTCATACTTAATTTTTCTTATTTCTAAAAATTAATTTCCAGAATTAATAAGAATTTATCCTTCTGAAAATTAGTTTCCAAAATTAGTGTTTCATGTTTTTGAAAATTAATTTCAGGACTAATAATTATTTTCAAAAATAAGTTTACAAAATTAAAATTTAACATTTTCAAAATTAATTTTTCATATTTCTGAAATTACGAATTATATTTCAAAATAAGTTTCTCGAATCAAGATTTTATTTTCTGAATTAAGTTTAATAAATTAAGATTTTATGCTTTTAAAAATTAATTTATAAATTATAAATTAATTTTGATAATAATTTTTTAAAATAAAATTTTATATTTCTGAAAACTAACTTTTTATATTTATAAAAACTAAAATTTGAAATTATTAAATATTTTTAAAAATAAATTTATTCATTAAAATTAAAAATAAAAACATTTGTTTTATCATCGTAAAAGATATTCAAAAAATATTTTAAAAATATTAAATATAAAAAAATGGAGTGCAAAAACGAACTCCCTTACCAAAAAATTGCAACGCAAAAACTAAAAATCAAATGTTATAACTTGGAACTACAATTATTGGATAAAGGCCAAAATGAAAATTTAGAATATTCGATACCAGCACTGCCAAAAACTAAGCCAAGGTCCAATGTGAAAAATTAATTAACACTTGTTAACAGAATAAAAAGAATATTATTAATATTTGTGATGAGAGTAATAAAGCAAACCATTGAATAAAATGAAGGCATGCAAAATAGTGCTTCTTTTATTTGATTATTTCCAGTTTAGAGAATGATAAGTGGGTAGAACATATATTATAACTAAGCACAATGGACATCTGAAGAAATTGGGTTCAGTGGAAATTCATTGCTCCAAGCATACTGGAAATTGACGGCTGCATCAGGAGTGATAGGTTGGCCACTTTTAACGAGACAAACATCACCAGAGACACTCAAAATCGTAGGGCTTATGCTTTTGGCTGTCTGAAATCCAGTGCAATTCAACTTCACATTACTTTGAACGCACAATTGAGGGCATTTATTGATTATGCTCACAAAAAATATTGAGTAGCCCTTCTCTTGTCTTCCTGTATTGTATTGGTTCACATCAAGATTGCTCAAAGCGCATTGTCCATTCACTGCACCAATTGAGTATGGTTAAGAGCATGTTTCTAACCATAGTAATAGAAAGGTGAAAAAATGCACCATGCAAATGCCAAATAATCATTTGAACCAAAACAAAATTACCTCTTACAAGGACAAGAAACAAGCACAGTGCTTTGAGGATGGCAACCATTTCCATAGAGACAAGTACTGATTTCTCTAAAGCTGTTTTTGTATTTTGTTTCTTTCTTGATGTGAAAGGGAGGGTATGGTGCGATATTTATACAGGGTCACCGGTGCTTACTATTAACATTATTAGTTTTAGTAACCATCCTAAAATTAATATAATTTAGGGTGCAAAGTAATTACTCCATCCGTTTTTCCATTTCTTGTTTTGGAAGAGAATCTTTACTTTTATTCTGTGTCATTTTAAAATTCTAATATAACATTAATTATTATTTTGTTGATTATACCATTATTAATATAATATTAACTCTTAAATATGATTTTAAATATTAAAAATTAATGAGATTTTGTAATCGTAATGACATTCAATTGTCATTTACTTAAAATTGTTTACTGTTTGTAACAGAAGGGCTAGGATTGTGAATAAATCATGCATATTGATTTAATATCAGTTATATATTTTTCTTATCATTTTAAATATTGTTTCCATTACATAATATTATTATTATTATTGCTCGTGATAATAAATTTTTATTAAAAATTATATAATTTAATACATTAACACTATTAACGTTATAATTTTTAATAAATATCTTATTATCACGTATAATATTGTATAAATAAGAAAAATCATTTTCATAATTACTCATGATATTTACCATAAAGGAATTAATGACTTTTCAACCGATATTATTATTTTTATTGTTTTTATTAAAATAAATAGCTAATTCGTCAAAGTTAAAAAAATATATATTATAAATTTAATAAAATAAATATTTTATTTTTAATAAATATTTTATTTTAAATATTTAAACTCAATTTTAAAGAATGAAATTTAAAAAATGCTTTTAAATTTTAAAATATTATATTCATAAATCAAATATTTATTATATTTTTAATATGATAAAAAAAAATTTATAAATAATTTTTTTAATATTTAAAATCAATTATAAAATCTAAAGTTAATAAAGTTTTAAATATTTTTATTTAAATAAAAGCTTACAAACTTTGTATACTTAGAATTAACCGCAAGGATTCATTGTAAAAAAAAAAATCGATAATAATTTATAAACAGTGTTAGATTGATTTTAATACAAATAAAATATTAATTATAATTTTTTAATTGTTTAATATAACTTAAATGACTGGTAAAATTAAACAAAAAAAATACTTTCTAATTTTTTTCAAAATAGACAACGTATAAAAGAAGTCTATAGAATTTTTTGTATTATATTAAATAATAAATATTTTACTATATTGAAAAAATATTTTTTTAAATTTCAATAATATTAAATAACTCTGTATGTGAATAAGTGTGTAGTCGGAGAAGATATATTAAATTTAGTCCATCATTAAAGTTTTAAGATACTGACTTATCGACATCATTCGCATGAGTTTATTTCGTATTTTAAGTGTATTTTATTTATTTTTAAAATATTATCAAAACATAATTAACGTAGATTTTAAAATTAGTATATAAAATTTAAATTAATGAGTATTTATTCAACTTTATATATAAAATATGAATCTTAATTTTTAAATTAAAATAATTTTAAAATGAGTTGTTTTTATTAAGTGTTATTTAGTTTTAGAACTTTAATTTTAAATTTTATATCTTTAATTTATTTTTTTCATAGAATAAAATATTTATTAATAATAATTAAAACTTTTACTGTTGAAAATAAAATATTAAATTTACAAAATAATTATAAAATTTATCTTTATTTTTATTTTAAAATATCATTTTAATTTACTAATGCCGCGAAAAAATCACTAATAACAATAGATTTAATTGACCAAAATCTTATGTTGGGATTTAACATGCCGTTATTAGGTTAGGAAAAACTTAATTCTTTATTTTGCCAAATCAAAAGCTAAAATTATGAGAAATGGTAGTTGTTTTTCATTTTTTTTAACATTTTATAAAAAAGTGTATGATAAAATGGGGAAAAACTAAAGAGAGAAATAGTGTAGTAGTAAAATGTATTATTAAAAAATTATATAAATAATATAACTTTAAAATTATAATATTTTTTCTTTCATTTCAGAACTCACATTTTTACTGAATATTTTTTTCAATTTTTTGGGTAAAATATTTTTTAAAATTATAATTAATTAATTTTAAAATTTTTTTATTTAGCTTCTCATAAATTTATTTATTTATAATAATTTTTTATAGCTTATGGATGACACAACAGGTTGCTAATATTACATTATAAATATATATAACATACCTTATTGTTAAGTAATAGACAATTATTATTATTGTTATTATATATAATAAGTTTATTATTTATAAGAACTCGAATAAAACAAAAAAAAATCAAAAAATAAAATAAAATTTAACTAATTACAATAATCAAAAGCATATTTGAACTTTTTTTTTTTTCTATCCTATACTGTGACAAATCAATTAAACTTTATGTTGAAGAAATTAATCGATTAGAATAAGACAAGATTTCATATTTGGAATTTTGAAGATTTGAATCTAGTCTTTAAGTTAATTTGTTTTCTTTATCTTAGAATGTAGCATTATATCTTTCCTTAAGAATTATGTAAAATAAAAGAAAAGTAAGTATATTGTCACACTTATACGCTTATTAACTCTTTTTTTAAGTAATTTTTATTTAAAATATTTTTTATAACTATATTAATGCCATTGGTAAAAGTATTTTGAAAAAATAAAATAAAAATAGACATATAAGTGTAATAACAGGTATTCTTGTAAACTTAAAACTCGTTGCCCCCCACACTTTGAGACTACCTACTCACATTGGAAATTCTACAAGTGTGTTCCGGGAAATTAAAGTGATACCAATGCTGGGTAGCTGGTTTCAATTGAGTGGTGCTTTTCAATAACCATATGCTTTGCATATTCAGATTATCACACTTTTTTTTGAAACTGGTATAATCGTTCTGATGAGGCACTTGTTCCTCCCGCAAGAGAATTTAGACACCCAATAGACATGGAGAACACGGTTCTATCGGTGAGATATCTTCTTCTTCTTGTTTTTCTTGCTTATCAGCATTTTAATTTTTAATCAATTTAATCACCGTTTTTGCTGGTTTCAACTTCGTACAAGGAAGCACTTTTTTTTAAAAATTTCTACTTTGCCTTTCTTATCAATAAGTATTGAAAAAAGAAAAAAAAAACATGAAAATGATAGTGCTTTTTGGGTTAAGTTTACTGCTGGAAAGGAAAAACAAATGTATACTGGAGATGGAAATAATGTTATAAACTTATAATTGTACCTATAAATTTGGCTTTAATGAAATTAGAAGGTTAATATTTCACTAACGTAAGTTTGCTGTACCCTGTAACATGAAAAAAGATCCTCATCAAACTCATAAACTCGCTATTTTATTTTCATTCTTTGTTCCTCTTTACATCCTTATTAGTACTTGTTCGTTGTTTGATATCTTACATGTTTTATCACTAATTGCGAGTCAACTAGCAACACGCCCTACAAAAAACGTACATGACGTCCTTAAATTTTCATTTTATTCAAATCAGTTCACGTAAAACCAGATGCTGATGAAGCTACAAATATTTTTGTTAATTAAGTCAATTGTGTTTGGCACTTTGCCTCATCCATTTTTGTCACTATTTATTGTTTTCTAGCAACAAATATGTTATTTCCTTATGGTTGGTTTTCCGTTGGAATCGAAAAAAAAAGATCGAAGAAGAAAGAAAAATGAAAAAGAGAAGCCAAATTCTGGAAGTATATTATGTTGGTCCATATATAATGATGGTAGGACCGTGATAGTTCCACCTTCATAAAGGTGCTAACCAAATGACGAGGACCTTAGAGAGCAGAACCATCCATCAGTGAATAAATAATTTGTACTTTAAATAATTGTCTAATGGTCATTAGATTGTTCCCGAAGTACGTATTGAACAAAGAAACAAGAATCCCACAGCATTCAAATTTGCTTTCTTCAAAGGTAACTTCAACTCCAAATTTAACTTACTCTGCATCAATCTTTTGTCATAATCTGAGTGTGAGCATATCAAAGATTCCTAGACGAAAATATAGTTGTATTTGCTTAGATATCTCACATAAATTGGACATGTGACTTCCAGGGAAATGGACACCCCATGACACCAAGTGTCCACTTTCCAAGTAGTTGATAAGAAATGAGTGATCAACCAACAATGTTTGTGTCAATTTCATTTCCGTTTTGAATATTCCTCTCGATTTATGATTGATAAAGGACGTCCTATTTAACTTTAACTTTACAAGAATATTAAACTACCCAAATTTTTTAGTTGTCAATTATTTTATTTTTTATGTAATGTTATCAAATTTAGAAGCAAATCCAAATAACAAATATATTAAAATTAAAGATACGTTTGAAATTTGCTTCTGTTATTTAAGTCATAAGGTTATTTTGTGAAACATAACTTAAAATTGCTTTCTAGAAACAAAAGGCTAGAATTACTTTTTGAGAAACTATTTCTAAAACCTATTTTAGAAACCTTAAAATATATTTTTTGTTTTTAGAAAGAAAAACTATTTTTTAAATAAAATAAACATGTTCACAGTGATGTCAAGCTCCTCATCCAAGCAAATTGATATTTTTGAATTAGCATGTTGAGTTGAGTTGGGGGTGAATGCCACTTGCGTTGAGATTTTCCCAATTCTCCCATTATGCATGACGGGCACGTATAGAGTGCTGTCTACCAGAAACTTCAACACATGTTATATCCATCTTGGGAGCGTGGACCACAAAGGGAGAGCAGAGTGCACACTCACTCCCCATTTTCCAAGCCCATATTCTGTACTTACTACACTACCTAATTATTTAGTATTTGTTATCAATTTAATATTCTAACATTTCAGAATTGTTTATAAATTCCTTTGCTTTATCACATAAATATATATCTACTGGAAAAGGCGTACAAGATTATTAAAATAGATCTTCCGGTATAAAAGGTTAATAGCATGACAATGAAAAACACTATGATTATTAGGCAAAATCGGCCTTTCAATCCGTGAATAGCCA